ATACATTACCTTCTTAAGTAATGACAGGATGTAAATTGCTGCGTGCTGCCACAATAGAGCAGACCTTTGTGCTATTTTTTTTTATATTTTATATTGTCTTTTTTCTGTCACTATGTTTTGATCACCTTTGTTTTATATTTTATAGGAAAACATCCACCCAAACCTCAGGGAAAGAACCATGACCAAGTTTCACATTCAAATCTAAAGTGCAGTCCAAGTTCGAGGTAGTGCTCTTTATTATAAATTATATATAACTTGTTCTAATAGGCACAAAAGCACTCATAAATTGGATTTCCTTTATATTTAAGGATGATTCATTTCCATCATTCTTTACAACACTTCTCTCTTGTAGACGGAAATCAAAGTACACTTCTAGTACCTCCAGAAAAGCAGTCTCTTCAGAGAGAGACTCCACTGGTTCAGATAACAGGCAGAGTGAACAGCAGGAGCTGACAAACTGTAGAGGGCACGCTGGAGAAAGTACAGCCCTGAGGCACATTACAAAAACCAGCAGCTCAGAATGGAACAGTTCTGATGATCTCGCTCTCTCTGAGCCCGAAGACAGAGAAAACACGTACCGCTCCAGCAATAGCGAGACCGTCGCCTCTGAATCCCAGTGTCCTCACATAAGCCTGCCATACCCCCCTCCCAGCAATGTGACTGCAGAACCTCCCCAAATGAACAATCAGCGTCAGCTCGGCACAACAGGGTCGCCTCACCTTCGACCGACCCAGCGTATCTCTCCACACCAGGGTGAAACAAGCCATGCGGTGTTTCGTCCGAGGATGCTTCAAGAACCCTTTCCATCGAGTCCTCGTCTTTCATCCACTTCCTATGTCAGTCCTCACAGGAAGCCTGACATTTCAGGCCTCAGAACTTTCTCAGATGCAAGCTCCAAGTCGGGCTCTGACCCAGAGAGGAGTACCCCATCATCATGCGATAGTGAGGAAAGACTAACTGGGTGCAGAGTGGAACAGGCAGTGCCAGCTCAAGAGGTTTCTCTGACAACATACTTCAATGTGGATAACTGTATGACGGAAACATACCGTCTCAAGTACCACAACCAGAGGCCTCTTGTCCTCTCTGCCACGGTGCCACGGACAGTGGTTGTGACTGAGCGCAGAGATACCAGCCACACACTCCCCACTGACACATACTCACAAGATGTGCCAAAAGCCAGACCTGAAACAAGTAAGCCTCTCTCGACAAGCTTACAAACCTGAATGTAGGGCTAACCATTGTGACAATAAACTGTATATACTGTGAGATAATATAAATTCAACCGTCAATGTTGCAAATCAATCAGCAGGACTATATGTCAAAATTTTATTTTTAATGATTTCTGCTTCCATGTGATGAATTACCCTGATCTATTAGGTATTAAATGTGCTGCTAAAGAAAGACATTCCTGTCTGGTTATTTTGTATCCATTAATAGTTCCTCAATTAATTAATTAATTCCTCAATTTACTATTTCACCATCAATATCACAATATAAAATGACATATTGCAAAAGATCAGATTGCAGTATATATTTTTTTTTTACTGTCGTGGTTTAAATGTACACACAGGATGAACCATAAAAGATCATTTAAACAAGATTTTTCTTTTTGTTTCTGTACAGGCCATAATAGCAATAAACCCACTGCAAAATGGAACCCAGTGACAGCCAAAGGACTGGATGAACGTGGTTTTTTATGAGTGTTACTTGGTAAGGATTGTTTACAAGGATGGACAGTGGTCAGTAGAGTCCTAACTGGATGCCAAAGAGTTTACAGAATGGAAATATGTTGTAAGCCTGACATCTCCAAATTTATTTATGCAAGCTTGTCACATAAGTAAAACCTATTTCTAAATGCTGTTGCGTGTTGTCTGACGAATTAATTAATTAAATCTTCCATTGTCCCACGGTATTACTGCACAAAGATTTTGTTTTACCAAAATCTGGACTGTTTTCAGTTTGCACAAAAGGGTTTTTTGAGTCTTTACTATTCTTTTTATTACCTTCAGTCAAGTTTAAAATGTTTATTTTTTTATTTGTGCAGTCGTTCTGCAGAAGTGTTGTAGACATGAAGATATACCAATATATTGCAAGAAATACATGAGAGATTATAGTGACCTACAGTTAGACGTATCATACTGTGGTCTGTACAGTAATTATACAATCATGAAAGATGCGATTGTGATAACAGATCACAGCATGTTGACATGAAAAGATATGTAAAAGATACCTTATCAGACTATGATGTCATTCTATACAAAGAAATATGGCTACAGGCTGAAGGTTTGCATCATCAGCTGCAGGTAAAAGGTAGCTCATTTATTTACATCTGTCAAAGGAGTAATATCTGGGCAGCTTACTGACTTTATGCATATTGAGGGCTTTAGGTCACCAGGGAACAGACGTTGCAACATTTACGTATGTTAAGTTACTGATTATTTCAACTGTTATCATTTATCAGTTGTTTTGCAACATTTATGTGTTAATGAATGACTGAGGGCTGCCCTGTACCAGTCAACCTCCATGGCTGTAAAACTGTGTCGACAGGGATTCTTGTTAATTCATTGCTTTAAACGATTTGTTCATTTTCCTGGAAAACCATTGGCAGATTTCATGTCATCGTTCATAAATATGTATAAATCCCTGAGAGGCACATTTTCTGAAAATGTGACTGCTTTCAGTCTACAATTTATTGATTATGACATCCAGTATTTGGGGCAGCCCTCAGGTTATTCCGTATGCCACTGTATACCGTACAATCATGTCACCTTGTGTATTCTACCTTCAATTGTGCTGGTTCTTGTAATCCTTTTTTGTAATTCACAGTGATGTCAAATTGTATTTTTTCAGTCTTCCTTTTAAAGTAGACAGATTTAAACAGGTATGTATTTGCAGGTATTTTCATAATTTTGCCAGTATAATTAATGTCTATCTGATATTGACCACACAACACAATTATTCTTGTTCTAAGACTAATGTTCTGAAACCTGCATGTGGCCTTTACAAAGTCTTACTAGCTGTGTCTACAGCATAAGCATGAGCATGATAATACTGAACTTTGAGTCCAACAAACATAAATTCTATTGGATTTTACGTAATTGTTATAAAATCAATTAATTAAATAGCTATTTGTATCAACAGTTTATTTGGAAACTTTTTTAACATTTGAATGTTGTTCTCCTCTCTTGCTCATGCAAGGACACATACGTTTGGTTATGCATCCATTGTAAATATAAACATATGATGCAAACAATATCCTAGAAATCAACCCACTTTCCAAGACATACTATGCATTCACTAAAAGGTACTTTAAGATCACTTAAAAAGCAGATTTTGGTACTTTTAAGGCTTTGCATTCGGTACATCCGGCATTCCAGAGAACACATAAAAATCTGCATTGTTCAATTGCCAAGTCTTTCACTAAACTTCCTGCCAGTTATACATGTTTTTTCACCACAATAACCTTTGTCCAGGTATTTCTCAACTATTCTAACCGCACACTTTGGTCACTAAATTTGCTGTGTTTGTGTGTGTTGTGTTTGTGCTGTCTGACACCAAAGTATGGTGTTTAGAGATTTATATGATCACACCTAAACTTGTAATTTGAGCATTTACTTGCATTTGTCATGGTTTATTTATTGACACTCTTTAAATTCAAGAAGGCGGCATACAGTGTAACTAAGCTATTAAGAAATAATTCAACTGAGCAGTCTAATGTTTCAAATAACATAAGGATGCCTTCACACATGTTGATTGTGCTGTAGTAGTTATAAATCACTCAGTTATTTTAAGATATCTAATATAATCACTGTATAATTAAATCCAAATTACTGAACTATTGGATTAGATGAAGCTCAACCGGAGTATGTTAACCAGATTATCTTAATGTTGTCACACCTGCAAAGTATTTTTTTTGTTTCTTTAATTGTTTTCTTCCTTTGTAAAATAAGGAATTCTGTTGTTTTTCACACAAGTTGTATTTTACATTCTGAACTTTGTGTCTTCAGTTGTTATCAAGAGTGCCTTGACATTTTCAGTGTTTTCTGTGAGTGAAACCAGTTAGGGAATGAAGGCGATGAATGAAAAGGGATGGAGGATGTCATGCTAAACTTTTAAATATGCAATGCTAATAGTGACATATCTGATGACACGTCTCTGTGTGCACTATTGTGCTGTGTGTGTGTGTGTGTGGTGGTTGTGGGGGGGGGGGATTTGTACCAGGTCCAGTATTCCTAAAAAGGCCTTTCAGACTTGGAAGCTACAACCTTAGTGGCTTTGACGTGTTCTTGTGGCCGGCAAAGCTTCCCAGTTTGAAAGAGCCGTAATGTAAAATAACTGAAATATTTTTTTCAGTGCTAAACTTAATTATTATAATAGTTACTAAATGTGCATGCACGCCTGTGTGTTCATGTATGAGCTCAGAAAAAGAAGCTAATAATTGGTTTTTGACCCCATAATCCACAGTCTCCAGTCACAATAAGACTTTATATACTCAAAAGGCCTGTTTGACAAAAAGGCCTTTTTGTCATGTGTCACATGACGTCACAGTTGGCATTGCATCAGCATATTGTTTATCTTGTGCTAAATATACAGGGACAGAACCTAATTAGATCAACACTGAAGAACAAAGGAAAACTTTCTTTACGTTCCTGGCTGATGTGGCCTGATGTGTTGGAACTGTATGCCTAACTGATTCCTATTGTCATACCTCTGTGGTGTGGTTAGGATTTGGCCTGACATTACTGTTGAATTGAGTTGTTGGTGCTTCAGTGAATGCTTCATGACTTATGTAAGTACAGATCAATTTAAAGAAACAAAAAAAAAAATCTGTCTACACTATATTTTTGTAGATTATATATATTTATTTTTATTCATTGTTGAATAAAGTTTAAATTATTGTATCACTCTTAACATACACATTGAAGTGAGTAATTTATTTATTTTTTACTTCACACAAACCTCCACAGATTCAATATTTAAAAAAAAAATCACAGAAAACAGGCAGTGACAGTATGGTTTTATTACTGCAAGTATCAAAATCCTGTGCAATTTAAAACTGTTTCATAGACTGTACAGACATTACAAGGAGTGCACGTTTTAAAGGTTATATTGGAATATGTAGTTGATAATTCAACAGAATACTGTATGTAATCCTGAAGTCAAACACCACTTTGGTTACAGAGTTCTGGTGATCAGTTTGGTCTAACACCTCTTGAAAATCCTCTTTGCATCTACACCTTCGTAGTTGTAGCTCTGTTGGCGAAAGATGATATCAGATATAATTATTACATAACTTTACATAACAGCTTCTGCATGTGGCTTATCAAGAGGGTTCACATATAAACAGACATTTTTTGACTGGTGTATATGTATATAAACTAACTCATACAGAGAGACTCGCAGCTGGAATATAAAATAACCTTTATAACCCTAATCTCATCGCCTTCTCACGGCTTCCCAAGTGTTTCATACAAAATGGGTATTTTCGGTGCCCTAATTTGCATAGATACAAATTTACCCCTACCTGTATAAGTTCATCTCCTTGGACGATTCTGGTTGTAGTCAGTTTCTTTCCATTGTCCTTCCTGGTGAAAACCCCCTTCAACAGATCTCCCTCCATTGTCCATGAGCCCTGCGGAGTAAAACATAAAATCTTATCATGATATGAATACTATGTGGGAAAGGTTTTGCAGAAGTGCTGTTTGACAGTTTTATGGCTGGGAATGTCAGTGGTAGAGGGTTGAAATCAACAAGGCACAACGGTTATCACAATAAAAGTCAAGGCTTGATGTTTGGATTGTTTTCTTAGCTAGCAAATTAACTCTTTCCTGCAGCTCATAGGTTCAAAGTCTAAAGTAATTTTGTCTCCAGCGCCTTTTAAAGTATACACAACTAAACAAATTAGATTAGGTCAGTTCCTGAGTGATTATAACATGCAACAATGGAAAAAGGTGCCCCAATAGATGCCACTTTTGCTTACTGATAGCTCTGTTCCATCTGCAAGGCTGTACTCAAAATTGACTCCCAGGGTGAAGTCTATTTCCAGGGTGCGGAATTTACTGCTCTCTTTGACGTGAAAGGTGTCTCCACTCTGTTCAATGGTTATCTTGAGGTTGTCATGAGCAGCCAGCTTCCTCTTCACCATGTTAATTCCTATCAGCAGACACATGGAATATGTTCAATAGAATTTCGAACAATCAGAGGAAGTTTGTCAGGATTTAATCACTTTTCAAGCACAGGTCCCTGCGGATATTTGCAGAGGGTAAGTAGGTACAAAAGTCAAATCACAGACATGTTCAGGAGGTCATTGTGCTGTCGAGTGTTTTCAAATGAGACCGTAGCTCCAGTATTTTGTTAATTCTTCAGTTCAAGTGTTTGAAGACTTAGGCTACCATCTTATAACTTAAATTATGATTGCACACATTTTAAAAAAGCTCATAAATTGGATGAACTAACATTTGCACGATTATCATTTGCTGACATTTTTACTTAAACAATCTTTAACTATAAATATCATTAAATGTGACATACTGACTGACCTGCTGCACTTTATCAGTGCTTTATGGACTGCCTTATCAGGTCTTATGTCATCTTATTACCCATAGAGTAGACATGGCAATGAGACACACACTGATTTTTCTATCGATGCAACAAATGATATATATCATATTTAAAAAAGGAATATATGCTACACAGTCTTTGGCATTTAATTGGCAGTTTGACATCACTCACCCATTTGCTCCATGAATTTCTCATAGTTATCATTGCGATCGATTTTCCAGTTGCCGTTGAAGGTCATGGTGGCTGTGAGGGTGAACTGAAAGACTCTGAAATAAAGGAGTGTCTGACTCAAAGTCTGCTGCTCCTTTTAAACCAAGCACCCTCTTATCTCATCATCTATCTGAATGCTGATGTGGCCGTTTAAAGCTCACATTTTTTCAAGGCAACATCCACAGCTGCAGCTGATTGGTCAATGTCGTGGTACTGAACAGAACCGTGCCATACGCAATAAACCAAGCCTTATGAGACTGTATTCTCTTTAGTTCCTGTTATACCTGTATCTCTGTTTACAAAGGGTGTCGGTCAAAGCTCAAACATTGTAACTTCATTCAGTGCAGAACAGCACTAATTGCATGCAGCATTTGATGCTACTAAAAATATATATATATATATTCAAATTTAACTTGAAACACAGTCATGTTTTTAATGCCTATTTTGGTCCCTGTCCCTCAAGCTAAGACAAAAAAGAAAATGTTTGCACAACTTTAAATGTGACTGTGCCAAATGTAACTTTGCTAAACCTCTTGTAAATGAGCCAAGAAATATTACTGCAATACATTTACGCGCTTTGTACAAATACAGCGGTGATCAGTTTAATCAGTTGGTAATGTGTTTCCAATGATACCCTTAACCTTAATCAGGCCATTGTTTATAAACGAGACCTTTGATATCTGTGGTTAATATTAAACAAACACTTGTGTACACAGTCTTTATTTCATAGTCACTGTGTATCATTAAGATACACTCAACTGATTGTGATGTATTTTATAGTCTGTCAAGTTAAACACAGAGCTTAAGTGAATAAGAAAATGTGAGTTTGAGTGTTTGAGAAAGTGTATTGTGCATGTATTATATGCACAATACAATATATGTATTGTCTATCGGGGACAACATAATGATGTAGACACAATTTACTAAACTACAAACTTAATGGGGTGGGAAGAGAGGGAAGAGTGGGAAGCTGCCAAAAAGGCACAGGAAAATGTTAGACTTAAATATCCACACCCATGTCTCACAAAGGGATGAATAAAACATCAATCATCAATCACTTCTCTTTCTTATCGGAGTTTCATCTCATCTTACTATGTGGCTCCAGAGACCTTTGCCTGACCTTCACTCCCCCCTTAGTGAATCTGCCTCTTATCACATGAAAGACCTTTCTACTACGAGTACAGTGATGAAATTGACAGGTGAGCTTGAGACATACTTGATTAAAACCTGTTGAAGCTTATCTTTAACACAATTACATCCCACAATGTTATCTCCTAGTCCTCTCCTAAACGGAACATGCAAAGTTACAACATGTATAATAAGGGCGGCAGGGACTTGAATTCTGTTTTAGTCAGTGCTGTCTCTAAGAAAGATGACACACCCTGTGGATCCAGCACTTTATAAACTGTGAACGTTTCTTTGCAACATCGATGCACACATAAGAGTTCTTGGGTTATAAGGTTAAAAGCAAGCTTGTGACCAGATGGTCATTGGTTTTGAACTGGCAAGATAAATCTGGATGGGGGAGCTTAAAGAGCGGTGCTTGTTCCACCCACATCACCAACACTGAGGGGCTCTTGAGCAAGGCACTGTGGCCATTAGTTCATATTGGGGTTGAATTAAGAACATATTACTCTGCTTTTTAGCATGGCTACACTGGCAACCCATTTGTTCTAAGATGAATTTTAAGGTTTTTATTGAGTTATATTCTAAGCTCTTCATGGCCAGGCTCTGGGTTAAATGTCAGAGTGGATTTTTACTTGCCACCTTGGGCACAGCCTGAGAGAGCATAGGTCTTAAGAAAACTGGCATGGATATTTAAAAGGTTAATAATAAATTGGTTTTGCAATTTTACAATCTTTTACAGCATTGTCCTTTGGCCACTAGATGGAAGCAGACACAGCTGACATTTTCACTTATCATGGCAGGAATACAGGCGTAATCAACAACATCAATAAAGTTTCCACTCCATTTATGTGCTTGAATAGGTCACCATGCACAATAGCAGCACACTGGATATTGTATATTGTACCCATGGGCTGCAGCCATCAATAACACCTGTGGTTTTCCCAGTATTACACCTTAAAATGCCTGCTGTGTGAAAAAGTCATCACCAAAGCTGTTCTCCTTAACGTAGCATGTAGGTGGCCGTCTCATAAATGTACTCCCAGCATTCAGTCGTTTTGGAGCGCTTGATTTGATCTCACGGTCTTGGCTTTGCTAGATGTCCATCTTTTTCACCAGCCACTCGCTGAAGTTGCTGTTAACATAAGTCTTTTAATAGGTTGCACATCCAGCAGTAATTTGGAGTCTGTTTCTGCCAATCTTACGAATGTAGGTTAAGTCCAATTAACTAAATATCTGAGTCTCCTTTCATTTCTGGTTGTCTCACTAACTTATGAGAAAAATATGTGGGTTTTTATCTGCTAGACATTCAAGTTTATTCCCTAGCCACTTGCCAACTTTGCCCATAGCCATTTAACAGTGCTAAGCAGCTAATTAGTCCCTCGTGTATTATCACTCCGGGCCACCGTTGAGCTGCCATCTTTCATGGAACTCTAGTGGTCTTTAGGCACTCTTCATAAGAGCAATATGTAATGTGATGTAAAATGTAAAATGTAAGAATATATGGATGGTTTGTTCATGAATCATTCAAGGAAATAACTGGTTTCAACTAGTGCAGGTCTTCATGAGATTCAAAGTAAAAGAAAAAGCCCCCAGATGGATGTTTTTATACAGTAACAATGCAACAAGCAATTTATTAATGGAGACTGCAGACAAGAAGCTGAGGAGGTACTTCCACTTTAAAGACTCAGGCAGATGGCCAAGAATTGGAGAGATGCCACCAAAAAAGTGATAGACAGATACATGTACTATATATACATAATATAATATAAATATTGAAAAATATCAATAGAAAAACAAATGAATGAAATGAACAGATGAATGAATAGCTCAAAGAGTTTAAGTAAAAACACAAGATATCTATAAGTATTGATTTATTGATGATACATATGTAATCATGTAATCATATATATATACATATAATCTATAGCTTGTTCCTCATATTTAAAACCTGTTTCTTTGTGTTGGACAAACAATTTGTGGACTGTAAAAATGAGAAAACATTGGTGAATCTGTCAATGGGTGACTCCCAGGAATCAATAGGTACTAAAAAATAAGACCAAATCATGGATACGAACAAAAATAAGAGAAACTTTATTCATATATTGTTTCTTGCATGAGGCCCAATACCACCTCTCTAATTTTGTTTTTTAAAGTATATATTTTTTGGGCATTTACTGCCTTTATTATAGTGACAGCTGAAGATAGACAGGAAAGGGGGCAGAGAGAGGGGATGACACGCAGCAAAGGGCCGCAGGTTGGATTCAAACCCTGGGCCGCTGCAGCAAGGACTCAGCCTTAGTACATGGGTCGCCAGCTCTACCCACTGAGCTAACCGGGCACCCACCACCTCTCTAATTAGCATAAAATAGACATCTCACATTGCACCTACTTTGTTTCAACCCCACTGTAGTAGCAGCAGTAGGCATGTCAGAAATGCAGTGATATGATTTAGACAAATGTATGGATGTTTGTCCCTGAGGCTGTAATCTTCTGACTGGCCACTAGAGAGAGCTCTTTTACAAAATAATCTGCTGTATATTATCAAAAAGGTACACTGACGTCTCTGATCTATACACTGTCTTCAGCTAAAGTATCAGTGTAAATGTTTGGTCTTAGGAAGAGCCACACTGGAGCAAAGCTTGCAAAGGAAATATTAAGTAACCAACACTTCTCAAGATTATTTTATTAGTTACCTCCATTCAGAAACATTGTTAAAATAAAACAATCATGTCTTTGAAGCACAGGAAGCTGCATGGAGGACATTATGTGAAGTTTAATAATAACGACTTAGGGTGAAAACAGTGTGGTACATTTACTCATGTGAAATTAATCAAACACATACAGAACATAATGTAATTTATAGAGGCACAAACAGTACTTTTATCCATATTTGAGTTTATTTTTTTCTTCTCTTTTGTCACTGTATATTCTGTTTTCTAAAGGTCATAATTACATTTTATCATGAAAAAGGAATAAATATCAAATAATATAATGTTAACAATAAATATTTACCAGTAGATCATTAAGTATATCTCGAACAACGTTTAGTAGAACTGAAAATAGTACTCAAAAAGTGGAATGTGCGATAAGTAGAGAGGTGTAATAAATATATTAAATAAAGTAGTGTTTAGTGCTTGTTTTAAATTATCTTATTATCTGTTTTAATAATTTAGTGATAGATACATTGTGGTACAGGTTTAAGAATGGCTCAACATATATTATTTGTGACAAAAAAAATACTGAACATGACAATATATGAATCTAATGAAGCTTTTGTGCCAAATAAACTTGTGAACATGGTGATATATATAAATACAACAACTATAATATCTAAATTTGAATTTCTTTTAATCATACTTATGCCAGTGTAGCATATATAGTGTAAAACATCATTACTCTCACATCCAATCGACCAAAAATGGGTCCCTCAATTAGTGACAGTAATGTAGTGGCACAAACACATAAAGCTATAGGATCTGTTTTTACTACACTCAAATCTTTCATTTTAAATCTAAATTCTGTCATTAATACTCTTAAAAGTATGGTTAAAACATATTCTATTAAGTAAAATAAGTGATTTGAGCTGACAGAGTAAAGTCTATAAATTCTCAGTATTTTTGGCTGGCGTCAGAACATATATAGTATATGACAAAATTAGCAGCTAAAAACATTTACCATATACGGGAAATGTTTTGCTTATCAAAACCTTAATAACCTTAGTAATATTATGTACAATTACACTGTGAGAATATTTTGTCCAAAAATGTATCAAACTTGAATGTACCATATACTGCGTCACTAACCTCTACTTTTCATGAAACACTTCACTATTGTGACTACGCTAAAAAAATATTGTGAGGTCATGACAGATCATGATCAAGCAGAAACAAGCAGAGAGAGCAACGGTACAGGTTCAAATTCACTTTGAAACAGCTGTTTATCATATTAAAAATATCTGTATGTGTGTGGATAGATAATTTTTTATTTTACTGCCTCTCATC